GTGTGTGTATATCTGTCTGTCTGTCTGTGTGTGTGTGTGTGTGTATCTGTCTGTCTGTGTGTCTGTCTGTCTGTGTGCACTGTGTGTGTGTGTGTGTGTGTGTGTGTGTGTGCACTGTGTGTGTGCACTGTGTGTGTGTGTGTGCACTGTGTGTGTGTGCACTGTGTGTGTGTGTGTGTGTGTGTGCACTGTGTGTGTGTGTGTGTGTGTGTGTGTGTGCAGTGTGTGTGTCTGTGTGTGTGTGTGTGTGTGTGTCTGTGCACTGTGTGTGTGTGTGTATCCACTGTGTGTGTGTGTGCGTGTATGTGTGCACTGTGTGTGTGTGCAGTGTGTGTGTGTGTGTGTGTGTGTGTGTGCACTGTGTGTGTCTGTGTGTGTGTGCGTGCACTGTGTGTGTGTGTGTGTGTGCACTGTGTGTGTGTGTGTGTGTGTGTCTGTGTGTGTGTGTGTGTGTGTCTGTGTCTGTGTGTGTGTGTGTGTCTGTGTGTGCACTGTGTGTGTTTGTGTGTGCACTGTGTGTGTGTGTGTGTGTCTGTGTGTGTAGTATGTGTGTGTGTGTGTGCACTGTGTGTGTGTGTGCACTGTGTGTGTGTGTGTGTGTCTGTGTGTGTAGTATGTGTGTGTGTGTGTGCGCTGCCTGGGTCTCCTCTGGAGCAAACCCTGGGGCAGAAGGAACAACGAGGTGAGCAGGTGGAAGTGTCTGAATTGCTCTGCAGAAGGATGAAGGACACCTGCTGCAGGTGGTGTCATGTGGGGGGCACCAGTGAAGGGAGATTGTTCCAGAACCCCACTACTTTCCTCTGTCTTGCTCTTTTTGCTAATGGCTGCAGAAATGACCTTTTCTCTCCTGACTGGAGGCTGAATAACTGGGGCTGTTATTTCCCTGATTCCTGGCACAAGTCCCTCTGCCTTGCAGTGCCAGTCTCACAGCATGGTGAGACCTTCCTGCTCCAGCCTTCACTAGCAAAGAACAAAAATCTTTCTTCCTAGACTTAATCTCAATTTTCCCCTCCTTTCCCCTTTAGCTTCACTTATAATTTTGCTGCTGTCTGAAAAAAAAAAAAACTTAATTAGAACCAGATTGGGTTTGAATTTTTGGAATGCTGAGGGCTTTCTGTTGCCTGGAGCTGTCAAATTCCCAGCACACTTTAGGTTGCAAGTGCAGAAAAATACCTGGTCCATGAGAAGCAGCAATCCCTGGGCTGGGAGCAGGTACTGATGGCATCTGCTCCTGTGCCTGGCTGCCTGGCCAGGGCTTTTCACCAAGTGAGATTTTATTGACCTCACAAGGTGAGCTCTGGTGGGCCAAAATCAGAATTATTTAGGCCTGGAGTGCAGCTGGGGCTGGGTTCAGTTTATCAGTTTATCAGTTGGAGATGCTCTGGGAGTCTCCAGGAGGATCTGCCAGTGATCCTCAGGACCCACCTCAGGCCAGCAGTGAAGCTTTTGGAGTAGCTGGCTCTGAGATTTTTGGTTTGGAGGTGATGCTCTGTGGAGGAGGTTCCTGTTCCTTTCATGTCACTCTGTTTTCTGTCACTCTTTTGCCAAAGGAGCTTTTTCTCTTTGGTAGGCAACCTGAGAAGGAAATGGAGCAGTCCTTGAACCAGCCTAATGATGAATCCCTGGAGGAAATAGTCAAGGAGGTGGAGACGGAGCTGGAGCAAGAGGAAATACATTTATTTCAAGCAAAGGAGGAGAAAATTGAGCAATTCCAGGAGGAGATGAAGCAGAAGGAAGAGGAGGAGGAGGAGGAGGAAGCTGAAAAGCTTCATCAGCAAAAAGAAAAACCCCTCAGGTACTTTCCTTTTTTACTCCATCCCCTCCGAGGCTCTCCAAGGTGGGATTTCATTGCTGCTGGCCACAGACTCGTGTTGCTGCAGCCAGCAGCTGGGGAGTGGTGCTGGGGGAAGGAGCAGGATCAGGGCTCCCAGGGAGGAGGAGGAGGAGGAGGAGGAGGAAGGACAGTCTTTGGCACAGTTCTGTTTGAGGATGTGCAAACCCTGGGATGGAGAGTGCCCCACTGGCAGCTCAGGCTCTCCCAGCCTGCCAGGAGGGGCAGGAGAGCATCCTGCAGGATGGGCTGTGCTCCCACACACACAGAGCTGTCAGTTATGGTTAACCTGGGAGAAGTTTCCAGCTCAGTGCTTGGAGCTCTCCCACCTGGCAGATGTTCAAACCCTGGGCTAAACGGTGGGAACAGGACGGGAATGGGAGCATTAGAGGAGATGAGGAGCTCCAGAGGAGCTATCTGGAGTTCTGATAGGGGATGTTGTACAGAGGGGCTTCCAGACAAGGCTTCTAGCAACAGGGATGGCTGTGGGAAAGCAGGATGTGAGAGCAGTGCAGGGGATGGAACAGCCCTGGGAGCTGTGTCCTTTCCCTGGGGGAATTTTTCTCTTGAGGCTTCTGTATGAGCTTGGTGGACTTGATGCTTGTGTTCTGAGCAGTCAGAAACAGCATCTGGACATGAAACATTGTGGGGATGCAGTCTGGGTGTGAACAAGATGGAGAAACGGTGCCTGAAGGGGGAAAAAAAAGGTGTACAAAAGGTATAATATGGAAATATGGAACTTCCAGATGTGCTAATGCATCTTGTACCTTGCCTGGGAGCCTGCATCCATTTAATGAGAGTTGATCTCACTTACCTGCAAAACAAAAACAAAAACAACCAAAAAGAAGTGTAAGCTATGATGATACAGCAAGTTTTAAACCCACACTGCTCAGGTTTGGTGCTGGGGCTGGCAGCAGCAGGTCCTGCAGCTGTGGGGAGGAAATGCATGTCACCACAGCCAGTGAGATCCCCAGCTGAGCTGAAGCCCTTGGAGAGGGGACTGGGAGATATTTGAGCCTCCTGAACCTATTTTCTTCCTTTTTATTTTCTGTCTCAGCACCCCAGAAGAAGATTTGGCGAAATCTGAGCAGGAAGAGGAAGAGCTGCTTGTCAGAGAGGAAAAAGCCAAGAGACTGGAAAAGCTGCGAGCCCAGATTGCCTCAGAGATGGAGGCAGAGGAGGAGAGGATGAGGTGAGAGGTTCTGCTGCTGTTCCTGGGGATATGAAGTGCTGCTCTGGGGGGAAGGGTCAGGCACATCCCCAGCAGCTGCTCAGAGGGAGCCCCTGAGCCTCCCTGGCCCCAGCAGCTCCGAGCCCCGAGTGTCCAGTGCTGGATCTGATTGCTGTGCTCTTGTTCCAAACCTGCCAGGGCAGAGCAGGAGGCCACGCTGCAGAAGCTGAGGGAAGAGTGGGAATCCCAGCAGCTGGTGGAGAAGGAGAGCCTGGAGAGGAAGCAGCAGCTTGCCTTGGAGGAAATGAAGCTGGCAGTGGAGGAAGCCAGGCAGAAGGAGATGAGCGAGCTGGAACAAGAGAAGGAGCAGTTCCTGAGCGAGCTCAGGGAGAGGTTAGACAGGGAGAAGAGGAAGGTGAGATCTTCATTGCCAGGCAGGGCCAGCCTGGAGCTGTTCCTGCTGGCCTGGCTGGCAGTGCCAAGTGTCGGGGCTGGCTCACACCTGCAGGGCTTCAGTGACAGCTCACTCACAGCACCAAGGGCAGGTGCCAGCTGGGCTGGGCAGGAGAACTCCCCCAGTTGTTGTTACAGTGGTGATTAACCAATGATTATTTCAATGGCCACTCTGCATCTGAAGACAAGATAAGGATCTCTGGGTGTCTGGCCTAAACCAGCCCTGTTATCAGATCAGAACTAAACTGAGCCACTTTATCAGCTCCCAACACCTCTTGGGCTGCTGCCTTAGTCCTGCAGGGACCTGGGGAGCCATGGAATGGGCTCCAGTTTCCAGTCCCTCCATGACAGATCCATCCAGATCCCCTGGGAGGGACAGCACAGAGAGAGCAAAGGCACAAATCACATTGTAGTGATCCCGTTTGGAAGGGGGGGGTTACTGCTGTGCTTTCTGATGATTTAGAATTTAATTGCACATGCACCTTGTCCCCACAGGCAGAGGTTTCCCAGCAGACTGTTTTGTGTTTCCATAGGCAGCAGAGGAGCTGGAAGAACAGTTTGCCAGTGAGCTCCAGCAGCTGAAGTCTGCAGCAGAAGAGAAGCACCACCAGGTGAGGATGGTGTCCTTACAACGTAAATCGTTGGGTTTTATTTTTCCTCATGCTGTCACCAAAGGTGGCCAGGGATGGTGGCATTTATTCTTTTCCCCTCCCTGGCTGTGGTTCTGGTCTGGCTCAGTGTTTGGCCGTGCTCCAGGCGGGGGGTGGTGAGGCTGTGCCGTGCTCTGTCGAGGGCATGGAACGGATCCTGTGGAAAGGCTGACAAGTCTCTGTGGGTGGCTCTCCTGGCAGGTCATTTCCAGCCTGCAAGCCCAGCTGGCAGAGGCACAGAGCAGCCAGGAGGCCCAGCTGCGTGAGGAGCTGCAGAGGGCAGATCAGAAAGTGCAGCAAAAAGCCCTTAAAGTGAAGGAATACGAGCGTGAGGTGAGCGTTGGTTTTGTGCTGAGGGCTCCTCGCTCCCCTCAGGCGTGGGGTGAGCTCTGAGAGCCCACATCCCCTGCCCATGACAGCCCTGCCTTCAGGGCAGGACATCCCTCAGTGTCACCTCCAGGACACAATCCCTGACCCCTGGGTGGGTATCCCTGACCCCACTCTGGGCCCGGGTGGGAGGCTGATTTTAGGGAGGCCACTCCGGTGCAGTGCCGCAGCTCAGGGAAACCTCTTTCCCTGCCACCCCTGCAGCTCAGCGAGCTGATGAGCGACAAACGCCGGGAAGTGGAAAAAGAGCACGAGAGGAGGATGGAGAGGATGAGGGAGGAGCACCGGGAGGCCCTGGCCAGGGTCCAGGAGCAGTACCAGGAGGAGGTACCGGCGGTGGGGCTGGGATGGGCCGGGTTTCCAGTGAGTGCTGAGCGTGTGTGCATTGCTGGGGAGCCCTGTGCCTCTCAGAGGTGTTTCCCTGTGTCGGGTTTCCAGTGAGTGCTGAGCGTGTGTGCATTGCTGGGGAGCCCTGTGCCTCTCAGAGGTGTTTCCCTGTGTCCCTGGGCCGGGCAGGAGCGGAAGCAGAGGTCGGAGCTGCTGGAGGGGCTGCGGAGCGAGGCGGCGCGGCTGCGGCAGCTCCACGACGCCGACCTGAAGGGGCTGCAGGCAGAGCTGGAGGGGAGGCTGACTGCCCTGCAGCACAGGCACAGGGAGAAGGTGAGCAGCAGGCTCTGCCTCTGGCCCCTGGGACTCCTGAGGGATGGCCTGGAGGCTCCACAGCTTGTCCCCTGCCACCCTGCACAGCCCAGGGGGACAGACTCGAGTGGCAGATCACGCTTCCCAGTTTGTGTTCCCCTGGTGAGGGAGGAGCTCGTGCCTTTCTCTTTAACTCAGCTCCCTGTGCAGGAAAGGAAGCTCCAGGATTCAGAGAGAGAGCTTGAAATCCGCATGAAAAACATCCAAGCCAGATCGGAGCAGCTCCTCAGCCAGGTGAGCCGGGCCCACAGAGCTCCCCTGATCTGTGCCAGTCCTTTGGCTGCTTCCTCAGGGGGAAGTGTTCAGGAAAGCTCAGCCAGGGCTTCTGCTGCCATCCCACTTACAGCTAAAATTGTGTCACCAGTCAGAGCAGGGCTGAGCATTCCTGGTGCCGGTGAAAGTTCGAGATCTGGGTTTGGGGGGCAGAGAGTGGCTGTGAGGAGTCATAAAGCAAATCCAAACAACAGTCCTCGTGTATTTTGGTCTTGAGACTCAGGCCTGAGGTGCTGCTCAGCATCAGCAGTGTCCTGGCTCTGACACTGCCCTCTCCCCTGCCACAGGAGGAGTCCCTGCAGAGGAGGAGGCAGCTGCTGCTGGATGAGGACGGACGGATGCAGCTGGAAAGAGAGGTACGGACACCTGGGCTCTGGAGAGGGGCTGAGGGCAGCACCTCGGGACTGGGGCTTTAGGAAAACAAAGAGCTGGGAGGTGGGTTAGTCCTGAGCTCTCAGCCCTGTCCTCCCAGCATTGGTGTGTGGTTGTGTAGCCCTGGGACCCTGTGAGCCCCTTGTTTCACTCCTGGGGAGATGACTGTGAGGGACTTGGTGTTTTTTCTCCAGGAAGCTGCTCTAGCCTCTCAGCTGCGGCTGGAGGAGAGCAGGAAGGAGCATTCCAGCCTCCTGGAGTCCGTCCGGCAGCTGCGCAGGTCCCTGGAGGAGCTGCAGGACCAGAAGGCTGAGCTGGAGGCCCAGGTGGACTTGCTGCAGAGCCGGAGCCAGAGGCTGCAGAAACGCATTGGGTGAGTGTGAGGAGCTCCCTCTGACACCAAAACATCTGCCCTGTGGCCCTGACAAACCTCTGTAACCCAGCCTGGGCCTCTCCCTGACCTCTGAGCTCCGTGGTGGGCCGTGTTCCTTCCCTGAGGTGAACCATGGAGGACACAGAGCTGCTGGGGCTGGTTCCAGATTTATTAACTCAGGGTGTGAATCTGGATTTGCTCCTTCAGCTCTGCATGACAGGTTTGTGTGTGTCCTCCACTCCTGCCTTGGATGAGGTGCTGTGAGAGGGGCACTGAAATGCAGAGAGCTTCTCCTGAGGTGGCTGAGCTGCTGAGGAAGGGTGGGAAGCAGTTTCCCTGCCCAGCCAGGGCTTACACTCGGTGTAACACCACAGCCCCAGCCCTGGTGCTGTTCTGCACACCTGTGGCCCTTTCCCTGCTGGAATCTGGAGCCACTCTGGACACCACTGCAGGTTAATCAAGTGCCTCTGCTGTTGCATTTTCCTGTGGCAGAGAGCTGGAGGAAGCAATCAGGAGCAAACAGGAGGCTCTGAAAGAACTGGAGGCAGAAGAAAGTGTGGAATCTCCAAGAAAGAAAGCTGAGCTCCGTGTTGAAGACCTGAGAGAAGCTCCTCAAGCTGTGAGTAAAGCAGCCTGTGAAGGTGTTTGCCTTGTGAGATCTGAGAATGAAACTCCCTTGAAAATCCTGGCATTTGTGTGAAGTCATTTGAGATGCAGAGATGGATTTCTCTTTGCTGGTGTGTTCAGTAGTATTTGCAGATGTCTGTCTATTATTAGTGGGTGGAGAGAGTGTGGGATACTCAAATCAAAAGCAGGGCTCGTTTCAGGATAGAAACATCATTGTTACCTTCAGAAGTCACATCAAGAGCACCCTGGTGCTGTCTTTGGATCTGGGCAGTGCCATGGCGATGTCATTCCAAGCTTTTGCTCCTCACTGGATTTTTAGGGGGCCCTGGGCTTCTGTTTCCCCCATACCTATTTCTCAGTGTTTGCACTGTGTCACCCCCTCAGCACTCGTCCAGAGAGCCCTCCCCAGCCTCTCAGAGCCCCGAGGAGAGCGTCCTGCAGTTCGATCGGTGAGCGTCCACGTGCCAGGAGAGCTTTCCGCTCTGCCTCCCCTGCCTTGGGCTCGCACAGCGGGCAGCGAGCAGCCATTTTTGGGGTGCTGCGTGGGGTGTGCAGCAGCACAGGGAGCCAGGCCAGCCCTGCCTGTTCCCCGCAGGGTCCGGAGTTACCTCTCTGCCGAGGGGCAGTCCCTGCGCAGCGCCAAGGAGTTCCTGCTGCGCCAGAGCCGCTCCCTGCGCCAGCGGCGCTCGGCGCTCCGGGCTGCCAGCCTGCAGTGGCACCAGCAGCTGCACAGGGCCCAGGAGGATGTGCAGGGTCCTGACAGCTCCCAGCTCCTGCAGGGAATGCAGCACAACCTGGAAGAGGTGAGCCTGTGCTCGGCTGTTTCCCCTAGCCCCGCTTTCAGCTCCTGGCTCGTGGTCCTCTTGGTGAGCCCCTGGTTGTGGGGTTGGAAGTGGAACCTCCTTTTCCTTGGGCTGAATCTGCTTTGAGCCACGTGCTCTGCTCACTGTCCCCCTTCCCACACTCCTGAGGGCTTGGGAGCGATTTCACTGCAGCAGCACTCCCCGTGCTGGGCAGGAGGAGGTGATGAAAGTCACGCCAGCTGCTGTGGGGATCATTTCCTGTCATTCCTGTTGAATGTCCCTCCTCAGCATGGCTGTTGGTCTGTGCAGGAGGCTAAGGAGCTGGACAGGATGAAGTCAGCCATGCAGAAAGGACAGGTGCTGCTGAAGAAGAAGGAGGAGAAGCTCAGCCAGCTGGAGTCCTCGCTGCTGGAGGAGGTAAACTCCAGCTGCATGCCCCCTGCCCACAGCTCTTGGCCTCCTCCCCCAGGCAGGGGGCTGTGAGGGGCTCGTGGTGTTCAGCTGGTGTTTGTGGGTTTTGGAGCCACTTTCTGTGAGAGCACCACACTGCTGAGTGTGTGGCTGTAGAGAGCAGCTTGGGAAAGCTGCATGGATTGAACCTGGAGAAAACAAGGGCATTTCACCTTGTGTGAGCTGGGATGGAGCCTGCTCTCCTGGCCAGGGCAAACCCTGGAATCTCTGGCTGTGCCTGGGAGCAGCTGATGCAAGAGAACCAGAGCTTTGATGGTCAAACTCGTGGTCCTGGGCAGAGAACCCAGCCCTGCAAGAGCTGTGAGGATATTCACAGCACAAGCCACGGTGACTCCTGCAGGAAGGGCTGGTTCACGTGGCTGCTGGCTTTGGCCTCTTGCACTTCCAGAGCCAGAGCAGTCTCTGGACATTGAGATTTCGCTGTCAGGGGCTGAGGACAAGTTTTCCTTCACTTGACCTGTGCCTGACTGCAGTCCAGCTCTCTAGACAAGCTGTAGGCAGATTTCCAGTAGCTCTTATGTTGCTGGGATGATACAGCAGGATTTACTGGCATTGTTTTCCTCCTCCTGACCAGCTCTCAGATGAAGATACACTGAAGAGTTCTGCCTGCAAGAAGGTGGTGACTTTTGATCTGAGCACCTCTGAGGACACAAACAGCACGTCCAGTGTGAATCTGGGCCAGTCTAGAGGTAAGTGCCCAACATGTGAGGCTCTGAGCTTGTTCTGCCTTTCCCTCTCATCTCTCTGATTTCCCTGTTCTCATTTGTGCTCAGCTGTGTCCAAGGCAGGTCTGGGACCGCTCTGTGTACCACACCTGATTGTGAAAACTTGCTTCCTGCCTGTAGTGGCAGATAAGAGGGATGGGATCTGTGAGTGAACCTGCCTTTTAAATCTCTGTGGATTATAAAATCTCTGATTTCCCCCAGATCCTGCAGATCTGTACTGCTCTTCTGCAGGAGTCTGGGCTTCCTCTTCCTCACATCCATGGCAGGAGGAGCTGCTGCAATTCCCTCTCTGCTGCTCGTGCTTTTTCTTGGGCTTTGGTTGGCTGTGACTGGAGTTGTGCTGGGGGAAGAAGGGCAGGCAGACAGGAGGCTTGGGCTGCTTGCACAAAGGCTGCTCGTGTTAGGCCTTGTCTGTGATCCCTTTCTTCCCCTTTCTTCCTTCAGCTGACTTGAGAACGGATTTCTGGCCCGTGCTGCAGCAGGACAAGATCCAGCACCTGAGGGACTCGGTGCAGAGCATCACCAGTGAGCTGAACGGGGTCCTGGGGCTCCTGGACTCCCTGAGCCATCACCAGTCTCCTCTCCTCACCTCCACAGCCCGTGAGGGCGTCCTCCTTCCCACATATCCCTCCTTGGGAGGCCTGAGGGGGGGCAGCTCCCTGGGGAACCCCCCCAGGGTGTCCCCCCTGGACCAGTGGGCCCGGAGCAGCGGGCTCAGCTCCACTTACTCCAGCTCAGGGCAGTCAGTGGACAACATGCTGGCAGAGAAATGGCACAGGTATTTCCCAGGTGAGTCTCCTGGCCTTGTTCCACCCGCTTTGCTGCCTGCAACTTCTGCTTTTGTCTCAGGCTTCCAGGGCTGGCAAGGGTGGGTGCTGCTGCTGGGACGGGTGCCAAGGGGGTGAGGGATGAGAAGCTCACTCCAGAAGTGCAGCATGTGGCTGCTCCTGTCATCCTGCTCTCTAAAACACACCCAGGGAAGCAGCAAAAGAGGAGCAGCCCCCTGCCAGTGGCACGTAGGGATCTCCATCTGCTTCCCTGGAGTCCTGGCAGGGGCAGCCAGCACAGCCAGATCCCTGGGCTCTGTGGGCTCTGTGTTTAATGTCTGTTTTCCAGGCGGGTTCTCGTCACTCAGTGGGAGTCCTGAGCCTCTGGACAGCAAGCTGGGATATGTCCCTGCAGAGTAAGGGCCTTCTTCCTTGAGATGTTTCACTTGGGTCATTTACCACGTAACAAATAGATAACAATTTGATAATTACTATGAACTACTAATTAAGGAGAAAAGGTAAACTATCAGTGTATATATATTAGAGGAAGTGTTTTTTTCTCCAGCAGCCCATCACTTTCTCATCTCTGGGATAATTTCTTCCCAGACCTCTTTTTTCCCCACTTACCCTCTCTCTCTCTCTCGCTGCTGCAGTGAACAAATCCGGCTCTTCCAGCATTCCAAACTCAGTGAGCCAGAGAAGAGGAATATTGAGGGGATGATTGAGAGCAGCAAGAAATGGCTGAAAGGCTTCAAGAAGGAGTCCAAAGTGTATCTTTTACCTGGGTCTGGTCTTTAATTGCATTCCAGCTTCCTGCAGAAGGAGGAGGGTGGCAGGAGGGGTGTGAAATGAAGAACTGAGCAGCAATTTCGAGGCCTTGGCCTCTATTCCAGTGATTCTGCAGAGGAATGTGGTGTTTAGCAGATGGAGCAGGAGTGATCTGTGTGCTGCTCTCTGAGCTGTACTTGACTGAGGAAGTTCCCCTGGTTGAGTTGTGATGCTCTTTAGCGATGCTGCTCAGCTGTAAAGGAGCAGCTTGAGCTGGGAATGTGAGGATTTAAAAATATGGGCCAAACAGTGCAGAATGGAGGATGGGGTGGGCAAGAAGGGGGATCTGGCATTGCAGGGCTGCTTCTGGTGCCGTGGGTGGAGCCCTTGGCCAGGGGCAGGCTCTGCTGAGCAGCCTGGGAGGAGGTGAGGGCACCTGGAGATGGGTGGGGATGTGGTGGGGCAGGGAGGGCTGGGCTCCCCCAGAGCTCTCTCCAGCTCTGCTTTGAGGAATCTTGTAGCATTGGGCTGGATCCAGAGAGCAAGACCTGTCTGTGCTGTGAGCAGGGGTGCTCCCAGGCTGTGTGGTACCAGCCTTGTGCTGGGGCTCAGTGTAATCAGCAGCAAATCCCCGTGGCCTCTGTGCTGTCCTGAGCATGGTGTGCCTCTGAATTCCCTAATCCCCCTCTGATTCCATGTGACTGGGAGGCAGCAGGCTAATGCAGCCTGTGTGTGCAGGGCTGGCTCAGTACTGGTCCCTGTCCTGCCTGTGCTGGTTCCTGCTGTGGGCCAGGCTTTTCCTTCACCCCCCTGTCAGACCCCTCTCCCCGCGGGCACAGAAGCCCCCAGGCAGCAGCCCCAGCCTGCTCCAACTGAGACTGGATGAAAACAGAGAGATCAAGGTGTACCACTACTGAGAGGTGGGGTTTCTCTCTGCAGGGATGCTGGGGGGGCCTGTGCAGTCTCCCCATGATGGGCTGGGTTTTGGTGATGCCCACCCAGGCACCTCCAGTCCTTGAGACTGGGTGTTTTTGCAACAGAGTGGAGGAAGGAGGAAGAGAGCTTCCCAGGCGGATTCTTCTAATCCTGTAATGTGTCCAAATATACTTTATAGACTGTTTAATCCAGCGGTGACATATCAGGGCTTCAATAAATCAACATTTCCCTCATCAGTATTCCAGCGATGGCGAGGCAGAGCTGTGAATCACGGAGGACTTTGAGTAACTGGTCAAGGGGGAGGATGTGAATCCAGCTGAGGCTCTGCTGGAGGAAATGTGTCAGGAAATGAGCCTGCCCTGATGCCCAGCAAATGCTTGGTGGCAGGTGGGCCACGTCAGGTGGCCTCTGGCACGTGGGAGCAGCGGAACGGCTGCGGAGTCTGGGGATAAAATCAGGGAATGGCACGTTCTGGCTCTTGGGCAGTGTTCTGCTTATTTGGGGTGGGAGCAGTAGGAACTGAGGGAGATCTGGACGAGCCCTCCCCGCTCCTCTGACACCAGGCTGTGCCTCAGAGCAGCTCTGTGCCCGTCAGGGACAGTGGCAGTGGGAGCAGGGGTGGCAGGGACACGGGCAGGGCCTGGTGCAGGCACGGCTGAGGAGCTCCGGTGCTGAGTCCTTCTGTGCCCTGGGGAGAGGGACCCAGAGCAGCTGGGAGCTCTTTCCATGCTCCTGCTGCAGCTCCACAGGGATCCTGTGGGAGCAGGGCCGTGGGAGCACCGGGGAGCAGCTGAGGAGCTGGGATGAGCAGCTCCTGGATGAGCAGCTCAGCTGTGACACAGAGGCTCATGGCTTTGCTCACCAGCTGCTGTGGTGTTCCTCTGGAAAAGCCACATCCAGAGGGTGTCCCAGCCTGCTGGGATGCGTGGAACTGGCGGGGGTTTCACTCCACCCAGCGGGGAGGGGGTCAGCCTTTCATGGGAACGCGGTGTTTGGTTGTCTTTGTCAGTATTTCCTCCGAGCTGACTCTAAATATTTTATGCTTTAAAAAGCTGTGGAGCCGCTCGCCCGTTCTGGCTGCCGAGGACACTCTGCACTTCAAGGGAGCCCATCTGTGAGAAACCTTCTTCAAAGCCATTCTCCTGAGACAGCTGCTGGGGGAGCTGGGAAGCTGCTGCCCCACACCGCCCGTGCTGTGTGAGCCCCTCGGGTGGGCAGTGGCGGGAGGCAGAGCCCCCTGCTCTGCTCCCACGCTGCCATGAGCCTGGCACGTGCAAATAGAAATATATTTTTGATGAGCATAATTTTAAAACTCTTAAGAATGTATGTATTTTATTTTTTTTCTTGATGTTTTCCTAGAACTTTTTTGTAATTACTCAACCAGCCTTATTCCTTCCTAGGGAAGGAGGGATCAACACACGGGTATCCCATCTGCTGTTGAATTGCACAAACCCCTTCCTGTAGGGCTCTTGATTTTGGTGTACTGGGTGCTCAGAGGACACATGGCAGTCCTTGCAGTGAGGGGATTTAGAAGGGACCCCACAGTTGAGGTTGCTGTGGCCAAAGCCGTATCACTGAGCCCATTCTGTATCTGGGGAGAAGCGTGCATTAGTGGTGCAGGGAAATTCCAGTTTTTTTAACAATAACTTGGTTTGAAACACGCTCCTTTTTCCTGTTAAAACCTGGGATGGCAGCTGTATCTGGTTTTGTATAAATTAAATCAACATGAGCCTGTTTTGTGTGATGGTGATGGTTGTCACTCTGTTTTGTTGTAGCTGGATATCCAGCTGTACTTTCCTCTCACATCTCCCCTTGTCTCAGGGCTCCCTCATGTTTTGTCTTGTCAAGGTCGTTTCTGGCAGTTCCCAAGACCACTTAAGCTCGCTGTGACTTTGTTACCATTATTCTTTTAAGTGTCTGGGCAGGGTAGCAAATGCAGAGGCAGAGAGAAGAAAGCTAAAAACCAAAACGACAAAATGAGAGCAAGGCTTGGCTCTGGCAGCCTGGGATCTGTGAAGAATGCCTCGCTCTGCATTGGCTGCTGATTTCCCATGGCTTTGGGAGCAGCCAGGAGCTGCCCCAGCAGCGTGCTGGGTGCTGTGGGATGGCTGAGTAACGCTCTCACCAGGAATTGGGGAGGGTTGGTGACGTGCTCCTCTCTTCCCATGACTTGTTCCCATCTCCTGGCAGCAGCCTGTGGGAGCTGGGGGGCTGCTGAGGCACGGGGGAGCAGGGTGTGCATCAGCTGCTTGTGCACAAGGAGGCTGGTAGTTTTGTCCTTAAAAAGAAAACAAAGCTCCACCAGGCTTTTTTGCCCCAGTTGCTGCTGTGCCTGAGCTGCACCCGTGTGTCTTTTCCCTCTGGAGCAGGATAAGAGCTGCTGGAGGAGCTGTGGTGGCAGTCAGTGTGTTCAGGGAGGTTCTGAGACACCCCAAATCCCATCTGGAGTGTGGGACCCTCTTGTGTGCACTGTGCCCCTGCTCCCCACGGAGCAGGTGTGTCCCAGGCTGGGCTGGGCTGTGCTCCCTGTGCTTGGAGCAGAGGATTTGCCTTTCCTGGAATGCCAGAGCTGCCTCCCCTGGAGAAACTCCGCGATTAGAAGAGCAAAAGGGCAGTGCCTGATTACTTCAGCAAGCTGAGCAGGGGCTGTAAGCTCATTAAGGGGCTTGGCCTCTGCCTGCCCGAGGAGGGACATCTCAGTGCTGGCTGTTGGATCCAGCAGTGCTGCTGCAGAGCCTGCGCACCCCGGCCATGCTGGGCACCCTGATGACAGCGCTGTTCTTCGTGGTGAGGGCGGTCAGACAGGTGAGCCCTGGCTGCTGCAGTGCTATCCCACCTGCCTGGGGCTGGGAATGGCTCCTGTGCCCCCTAAAGCACCCTGGGCAGGAGGGCTGGGAGCTCCGCGGGCTCGGGGTTGCCACGAGCGGCAGGGGAGGGTTGTGATTTCTGGTGATGACTGTGGCTGAGCAGCTCTTCCTGTTCCTCTCCTGTTCCTCTTCCCTGCTGAAAAACCTTCCCTGTGTGCAGCTGGGGACCAACCTGTTCCGTGAGGAGCCCCTGCCTTACCTGGTGTACCAGCCCCTGCCCTGGCAGATCCAGTGCGTGTCCCAGAGCCGCCGCACCAGCCGGGACAGCGAGGTGAGGGCTGCTGGCACTGCCAGGACAGCCAGGTGAGGGCTGCTGGCACTGCCAGGACAGCTGACTCCAGGGATGCCAGGGCAGCTGTGAGCCAGGCAGCCTGCAGGTGTAGGCAGTGGGGAAATGTAATGCCAGGAGGGCAGGATATGCTGGAAAGTGTTGGCAAGCTGGAAAACGTTGAATTTGTAGAGAAGCTTATTTTTAGAAATGGAAGAATCCCCTGGATGACCTGGCAGCCCAGGAGCTGCAGGCTCATGGTGTAGGGGCTGTCTCCTTACTGGTCTGAAATGCAGATCCAGTGAGGATAGCCTGTGCCAACATCCATCCATGGACTGGAGCTTCTCACAGCTCTGAGTTTGGATGCAAACCTATTTCCTGCCTCTCCTTGGAGGTCTTTTCATAAATGCAGATTAATTAATCAGTACTCTTTAGGGGAGCAACAGTAAGCATGTTCCAGTTTCTTAAAGGGAATGGAGAATGGAAGGGGACTGTCCTCACTGCCTCTGCCTGGGATAGAACTGACTTTTATTTTATTTCTCTGCCTTTCTAGAGAGGCAGGAACTCCCGGCACAACAGCATCTACTCGCTTTCTGGAGAGAAAGGTGAGTGTGGAACAGGCAGGGAGGCAATAAAAACCCTCAATCAACACAAGTAATGAGTGGAACTCATGGCTGCCACTGTGGATGCAGCAGAAGAGCAGGCATTGCAGTACCTACATCCTTCTCCCTCCACAAATCAGTGACATTATTAAGGGGTATTTGATGATGAGATATTTGCTACTGTGTGTAGCATCAGCCAGTGAAGGTCCCAGTGCTGCAGGGCTGAATAAATAACCCCACACGTGTGTCTGTGCACACCCCTGCTCATCCCAGGAAACCTGCCCCACTGACTCAGGTGGGGTCATGCTGTCCCACAGAACAGCCCCCTTCTCCTTGTTCTGGGAAAACCACCTGGCATTCACCCCCTCTTCTCTTTGCTCTTGTCTCCAAGGCTCTGCAGCGCTCAGCAAAGAGGATTTGAGCCGTTCTATTCTCGTTATCCAAGCGGATAACGGGCAGTGGGGGCTGGGGGTGCCATCCCTCCCCATGGCCCAGCTGCTCTGCCCTGTCTGGGGGCTGGCCTGGGGCTTCCACTGCAAATGGGTGCAGGTCTGGGGGTGCCAGGGGCTGAGCCCCTCGGGCAGGTGGGGTTGTGCAGAGCTGCTCACCCTGCCAGTGCCTGTCCTCAGCCTCTGCCCTTGGGCAGGATTCACAGCTGGCAGGGCAGAGCAGGGCAGGGCAGGGGGAGCCTTTTATCCTTTTATCTTTTTACCCTGCAGTTTCTTTTCGGCAGTGAAGGGAGATGGGTTCAGGTGGCAGCGGTGAGTTTGTACAGCAGCATCTGGCCCCAGGATTGCTGATGGCTGCTCGGGGGGTGCTTAGCAGTGACACACTGGCTTAGAGGAGCACTGCTGAGTGGCTTTGATGCAGTTCCTGTTGAATTTCACAATACTTCCCTAATGCCACATTAAGCAGGAGTGGGGAGGGCTCCCATTTGTCAGCGTGAGAGCTTTATTGCTGCGCGGGGCCGGGCTTTCTTTCTAATCTTATTTGTGTGTGCGAAAGTAAGTGAGCATCATACGTGGTGATTAAACGTGGGGAAGCTGCGGCCTTCGGGGAGTGGAGCTGTGTAAATAGAGGGCTTAGCACTGCCAGGGAGGCTGGGCTTTGCTTTGCCTCCCGTTCCCTGCTCCTTCTGCCCTGGAGGTGTCCCTGTGAGCCGCTGGAGTTGTGGTTTCATGCTGTGAGCCCTGCAGCAAGGACAGCTGTCCTGTCTGAGGAATGGGGAGGCCACTGACCCCATGGGGGTGATGCCAGAGCCCTGCCCTGCTCCTTGGAGCCTGTTCAGGGCTGCTGGCACTCTCTGTGCTCACTGTGATGCTCTCTTGCCCCTCCAGGTGATGTGACCCCTGATGCCAGCAAGGAGAGCAAGGTCACTGACCCCTCTGAGAGGGCAGCCATCACCATCCAGACCCACTTCAGGAGGTACCAGCAGCAGAAGCAGGAGAAGAAGTAGCCACAGCAGCCCCCTGTGGCCTGCACTGTTCCTCCTGTTGGTCTGTTCTGTCCCCCAGAGACATTTGGGGCTGTGGTGGCTGTGACTGTGCCCCTGATCCGTAGCTCCTGGTGCAGGTGTAGCTTCTCTGCCCTTGTGTTGGTGCTCACAGGGAGTTCTCTGTCCTGCTCAGTCCTTCCCCAGACAGCATCACTTTGTGGGCCAGGTTACAGCTGCTGAGGGGCTGCTGGGGACAGGGCCCAGGCGTGACAGCACTTTTGGGAGCCTTGGCCAGCCCTTGGGTGAGGCTGTGAGCCCCAGCAGCTGTGGGAGGGGGTCCTGTGCAGCAGAGGCTGGCTGTGCAGGCTGGTCACTGCCCAGCCGGGGCTTGTTTCACCCCAGGAACTCTCCCCTGTGCCTCCACCTCCTCCACTCTGCCTCTGGAGCCGGGTGGAAAAGCTGCCTTTGTCCCCTGCTGTGTCCAGAGCAGAGTGACCAGCGCAGTGTCCAGGAGCGGGACATTGCCAAGGGAACGTGCTGCAGGCTGAGGGGAGCAGGAGCTGAGCTGGGAGCTGCTCTTACCTTTTCCTGGGGAGGACTGGCTGGGGTGTCCTGGTTCCAGAGCAGGCACTGGGGCTCTGTGTCCTGAGGCTGAGCCCTGGTGCTGCTGGTGTTGGGCTTGGAGCCCACCCAGCCCCCTGGCCTCTCTTCTGGTGCATTTCTGGGCTTGATGGCCTCTTCTCTGCTCTTGGCATGGCCTGAAGGGGCTGTTCTCCTTCACATCCTGCTGTGGTGAGGGGCAGGGGGCTCCCTGAGGGCAGAGGGGTGTGGGGGCTCACGGGGGAGTGCTGGAAACTTGGGCTGTGTTAAATTCTGCAAGGCCAGGGCTTGTTCCTGCTGGGGAAGGGAAGGGGGGCAATCCTTGCTGGGATGTAGAAGGAAATCTGTACTAGCCAATTCCAATAAAGTTGTGTTAATCTCTGTTAATCTGTTCCTCTTTTTATCTTGCTAATCTTCTTACTCTCATGGCTGAACATGCTTGCCTTTTCTTGCCTCTTCTATTTTTAATTCTGTTTCCCCCCTCTATTTCTGTTCTAAGCCTGGGGTTGGTATTTCAGAGGTGCTGCCTGGCTGTGACCCTGGTTTAGTGGCTGGGCACTTGGTTTCCTTTAAAACCTGTATTATGTAATGGTTTATAAATGCTGTATTCTCTGATGCCTCCCACCAGCCTGGCTGGGAAGGGCGCCCCTCTCCATATGGAATGTTCCTTGACAGAGGTTGGCTCTGAGTGGTACCTGAATAATGGCCAAAAATCATAAAACATTGGGACAAGAAATTGTCTTAGCAGCTTGTTTCTCAAGCCCCAGAGGTGAACAGCTGCCAGGCTCTGGCCAAGGCGCTTCCAGCTCTGCAGGATTCCAGGAGTTACCTCAGTTAGGAAGAACCAGATGGCAAAGGAGGATCTGCTGACCAGTGTGCCAGCAGGCTGGGAAGGGCACTGCAGAGCTGCATGGGGAAGCTGCAGTAACATCACTGTATTTGCATGTCATTTTAATTTGGGTACTTCAATTAAAAAGAAAAAAAAAAAAATCAAGGAGAGAGAGAGGTTGAAAAAATGACCTCTGCAGTGCTTGATTGTAGCTGATGAATTAATCCCTGTCAAGAGTGAAAAAAAAAGAAAAGAGAACTGTACAAATCTGTGTGTAGATACTCCAACTGCTTTGAGCTAAAATAGGCAATGTATCTGTTTGTAAGGAAAGGGCTGGAACCAGTTGGTAGCAGGCATGAATGGGAAAGTAATGAAAACTTGACCTTATAAATTAGAGGGAAAAAAAAGAAAGTGCAGTTAGTTAATTAGACCTCAGATAGCACCAGGAGCTCCTCAGAAATGTGAAGTTCTACTTTGGGTAACTAAACCAAGAGTTAATAATGGCCTGAGCTATATTTTTGCCTTTGGAGCAGGTAAGGAGGGCTGGCAGCCCCAGGGCTCTAAGTGCTCTTGCTTTCACAACCTTGTATGAGAGGGGGAAAGCAGAATCTGCCTTTCTTTTGGTCTGACATTGGTGTGGCTGGTGGTGAAAACTAAGGGGAAAATAAGAACAAAATACGGGGTGAGGCGGTGCTGGGTCTCCCTGTGGTTCTCTGTGCTGTCCCTTGTCCCGGGACACCTGTGCAGTGCTGTGAGCCACGATCACCATGACTCAGGGAGGCAGAGAAGAAGAAGAAGAGGAAGAAGAAGAAGGAGAAGAAGAAGAGGAAGAAGGAGAAGAAGGAGAAGAAGGAGAAGAAGGAGAAGAAGGAGAAGAAGGAGAAGAAGGAGAGCTCTGTGCTGGATTCACCCGGACATGTTCCAGCTGTGGCTGAGGACAGTGGTGCTCCTTCTCCTGCTGCCAGGAGCAGTGACACATCCCAGGGAACAAGACCTTGTCTGGGGGAGTTGCTGTGCCTCGCTGGACACTGGATCTGATGCTGCAGCCACCCTGTGCTTACCTGAGCTGCCCGAGCTGTGCCATGCCTCGCGAGGCTTTGGGAAGCCGTTCACCCCTCTGGACGAGCTGGACCAGCTGTTTGGCACCATGGTTTGTCCTTGGAGCTGGGCTCGGTACTGCTGTGGCACAGTCTGCTCATGACTGCTCTGTCCTGCTCCGTGGAACCATTCCCAGGACCCTGCTCATGTTCCTGACCCTCCTCCTGCCCCACAGCTCTGCAGGTGGGTACCTGCCTTATTATTCTTTAATATTTAAGCCCTTGTTTCAGTATTTCTGTACCTTGGCTTCCCTGGGCTGTCCCTCTCCATCCTCCTGCCCTTCCTGCCCCAGCCCTGCTCTGCCTAATTCCCTGCTCACTTCACAAACGCCCCGCGTATAAACATAACCTTTATTGCACACAGCGCTGGGTTTTTTTTCATAGAAAAAGGTATTAACACATAAGCATTTGCAAATTGAAGCAACTCCTGCTGTTTTCAGAACAGTAAAATAGCATGCAATGTCTCGGAGACGTTCCTTTTTTTAAAACCACCGACAAGATCAGGGAGAGAAAAAAAAAAAAAAAAAAGAAAAAATCGCTGAGTCTTTCCTTGTGCCCCTTTCAAAATGATGTGAAATATATATATATGTTTACATATATATTATATTTTTAAATCTGTAACATCAAATTCTTTGTGCCCTGGTTTCTTTTTCTGTTCGGAGAAGAAGAAAATAGCTTCATTTATACAAAAGAGTCCGTTATGTACAAGTTTGTTAATTTAATATAAACGGCGTGGGGAAACGAGCAGCATCCGGCGGCGGCCCTACACCAGCGTGTAGGACTTGGAGTAGGCTCCGGCACCCTGTTTTTGAGACCTGCCTACCCCTGACGTGCTCATCTCCAGCAGCGAGTCCCTGGAGCCCCCCACTTTGGAGTGCGTGGGCACCCGCGCCTCGGCGGTGGCAGCGGCCACGGGGGGCTCGGTGGCCACGGGGGGAGCCGGGGCGGCGCTGG